CAGGCCTCAGAACACTGGGATATTTTCTCCCTCCCAGAAGCCACCTGGATAATCTGCTGAGTTGGTGCCATCTCTTGTCCGTATTCCAAATTGCCCAAAGACACAAGCTCTCACTTGAGCTCCGTCTGGCTCCTTGTTATTTCTCTAGTTTTTCTCACTGTTGTTTTTATCCTTGAGTTCTCACAGAAGCATAGAGGCTTGACAGTTTCACACTAACTCTGAAAAACTTTCCCCAAGATTCCTCCTTGCCGATTTTCTGGAATCTGCTTTGCATCTCTCATTCCCCATTAATCCTGGCTTTTCTTCACAAAACTCCAGATTTGTGGTAGCATGAGAGGCAGTGGGATTGCTGCCACTTCCTGACACAGTCAGCCCTCATTAAACTAGGCCCTCTGTACCCCAAGGGGCTCACCCAGGGCATTGACAGAGCTTCCAAGATCTCCAGCCTCTAGATTCCACAAGGACACAAAATCACCTATTTCCTTGCTAAGCTTCCACATGATGACAACCTCTGGCTCTCCATGGAAGTATGGAAAACTACAGGAATATATCTCACATGTTTTCAAGTTGCCAAACCTTTTCATCTTTCTTAGCCACTAGAAATCACATGCACATACTTTCTAATTTGTGATATTTAAAACATTTTGCAAATGTGAGTTATAGAGCTGGCAGCCTGTACATATCATATCAGCTGTCTCGGGCAGAAAGTTTTCATGTTAAACAGGAAGAGAATGGTTCCGGTGTCAACCACACTCAGCCAGATGACCTGAGTGCGTGAGCATGTGGGTCTCTGTGAACTTGGAGAGATTCCATGGCAGCTGGGTCAGGGCGGGGTGGGATTTTAGGGACTGCTAATGGAACTGGACAAACAGGGGTAGCATCTGAGGGAAGGTGTGTGACAGTGGTGTTTGAAAGCCAGGGTGTGTATTTGTGTTAAGTTCCTGAGGGTTGTCACAGGCACTGCTTGCATCAGAAATGCTTTGCAAATAGGACAGTGAAGCAAAGCAGAAGGGGGCCTATGGAGAGTGAATTAACCAGGCTTAAATGAAGTTTGCAAAACAATTCTGGAGGGTTCCAGTAACTCTTATCATCATCATCATCAACATCAACATACAACAGTAACAATAGCATTTTTGAGGACTTAATATGTACCAGACACAGCTGTCCACTCACACACAGAGACACACACACACATGCACGCACACATGCGGGCACCATGGCACATGCAATTCAAGGCTGTCTTGTCTTCTGTGGGTCCTCTCTTCTGCACTGGTCTTGGAACCTTTTACCTGGGACATATTTTGTGGGATTTAGTCCAAAATAAAAATGCAGAGCCTCTTGTTGAAAGTTCTTATGAATTTCAAGATGGTGATAGCACATCTATCACCATCTTGGTGGAGCAGGGAGCCCCATATGACTACACAGCTCCAGGCCTGTGAGGCAGGCCCTGCTTTTACTTCTGAATGACTTGAGTGCATTGCTTCTGTCCGGTGGGGAGACTTCCCTCACAGCTGGGGTGTAATGCAAGGACAGTTCATTTGCAGTTTGTCCCCTTCACACCAAAACAAAGCACCCTTAAAGCAAACTTGGGCTTTCCCCCCTTCTGTTAGCTGCTTGCTAGCTGCCCCACATCACGCCTGGGTGTGATCTGCTGAGGGGCATCAGTGCCACAGTGTTAGGTGACACTGGTGTTTGAGCCACCTGTTTATACAGATTACTTGAACTATTTGGGCCTGCCCAAGCTTGATCAGGAATAAATAAGGTGAAAGTAAATGGGTGGACAAAGATACACCAAGCTAATCATGAGCATAAGAAAGCTGCAGGGGCTACGCTAAATCAGCGAATGTAGACTTCAAGGGAATGGGCGTTACCCAGGCTAAAGTGGGAAATCCATATGGAAAAAAACAATGTGCACGTCTAGTAACAGAGCTTCAAAATAGCTGAAGAAAATTTGACAAAAAGGGAAGAAGGAGACTATAATAATTACTCGCATCAGTGGACTGAATAGCTAGAATAAATAACAAGGGACTGGTTAGATGATCAGAAGAGCATTGCCAGCTATGCTGAATATAACTGACATTTAGAGAACACCAGGCTCAACAGCAGCAGCATTCACATTCTTTCCCAGCAAACAGGGTACCTTTACCACAAGAAACTGTATGTTTGCCCGTCAAACAATAGTAAAACAATTTAAAGAATGTACAGAGTTGTTCTCTGACCACATCGGAAGGAAATTAAAATAAATAACAATGAGGTATACAGAAAAATCTCAAATACTTGGAAAATATACAATACATGTCAAAAGAATCCATAGGTCAAAGGAGACAGTCCAAGGGAAATTAGAAAATATTCTGAATGAAATGATAATAAAAATTAAATACAACAAAACCTGCAGGATATACTGAAGATACACTGGGAAGGAAATGCACAGCTTAAAACACATAGATTGTAGAAAAGAAAAATGTCACATGGGGATTGGTCCACCAACATTCTCACTGCCTTGTGGTTATGGTGTGGAGCAGGGGCATTGCAGGGCAAGGGACTCCTTCTCTTGGTTTCTCTGACTACAGGCTCCCCCCGGTCCCCATATGGCAGCACGGAATATTATTCCAAAACTTAAATCTGACTGTGTCACTCCATCCTCTAAACCCACCTATGGCTCCCCATTGCTTCAGGGTAAAATTCAAAATGGACCTTGTCAAGCTGGCCTTTTATGACCATGCCCCCACTCACCTTGACTTCTAATGCCATGCCCTGTGCCACTGTGCTACACCCAGCTTCCTGAACTGGCCCTTGAAATCAAGAGTTTTTTTTCTCTCTCTTTTTTGTCCTAGAAATAGGGTGGACAGATAAAATGCAGGACTCCCAGTTAAACTTGAAATTCAGATAAGTGAATAACTTTTTAGTATAAGTATGCCCCCAACATTACATAGGACATATGTATATGCTGCGTAAGTATTCATTGCTTATCTGAAGTTCATATTTAACTGGATGTTAAGTTTTTATGTATTATTTGCCACATCTTTACTCAGAACTGACACATGGTGTTCCATCTATCTTTTCCCTTCTCCTTTGCACAGCTAACTCCTTTTCCTAAGTTGGGTGGGTCTCAGCTTAGAAATAACCTCCCCCAAAGAAGCAGACCTCCCTCCTCTTTCTCAGGCTGAGGCCACAGTCCCTCATTACTGTACCTGAGCTGTGCCCAACAGATGGGGTGAGTGTATCTCATTCACTGTTGACTCCTCAGCCCCTGGTATTGTGTCTAGCATTTGGCGGCCACTCAAGCAATGTTTGTTGGAGTGAGTACTGACCGAGGCCCAAACTCCAACGATAAAGAGCTGACCCACTTCCTGCCTTCTAAGCCTGGTGCCCCCAGTTTGGGGGACCTGGGGATGCATCAGCTATCTATCACTGCAAACAAATCACTCCAGAAGTTAGTGATTTAAAACCACAGCAGTCGTGTAGTCTGCTCATGAATCCGTGCAACAGGCAAAGCTCAGCAGGGACAGCTCATCTCTGCCGCCCCACAGCATCAGCTAGGGCTGGAGGATCTACTTCTAAGATGACTCACTCACGTGGCTTTCCAGCTGGTTCTGTCTGCTGCTTCTCTCCACATGTGCCTCCCCGTAGCATGGCTTGGCTTGCTCCCAGCACGGTGGCTATGTTCCAAGAGCAAGTATCTCAAAAAAAAAAAAAAGACAGGAAACGGCAGACACTCGCTTTTTAAGGCCTGAATCAGGAAACTGGCACAAAGTCGCTTCCCCATGTTCTGTTGGTTAAGCAGGTGCAGAGTCCATATTTAAGGAGAGGGGCTTAGACCCCCATCTCTTAATGGAACAAGTGCTAAGGAATTTTGTGACCATGTTTTAAAGCCACTGCAGGGGAGAATCCTCACAACAAAGGACTTGACAGCCCATCACCTGCACCCAGTCTGTTTGGCTAATGTTCTATAGGATGCTTTTCTCTCCATGGGTCAGTGGGTAACACAAGACCAGCATGTTCAGGGCAGCCTTGGAGGGAGATAGGACAGGAGGGAGAGGGATACAGTCTTCCCTTAAAGGATGAAGGATGGAACAACTTAACCCACATAGGCGCTTAATGATCATTGCACCTTGAAAGGGGGCTGCACAACTGGAGCCTGTCATGGGTCCTTTGGGATGTTGTCAACAGAAATGTTGAAACTGAATTTCCTTTTGGTTTTGAAATTTTTTTAATCTAAAGAAAGTTGACAGAATAGTAAAATGAACAACCCACACACCTGTCACCTAGTTTTACCAAAGGTTAACATTTTGCTCTATTTGCTCTTTGAAAATTAAGTTACAAACAAGACATCTCCCTCCCCAATCCTTCCGCCTGCATCCCGCCCAGAAGCAGCGTACTCTCTGCACAGTGGTTCTCCACTGGGAGGTGACTTTGACCCCCAGGGAACATTTGACAGTGACAAATGGAGACATTTTTAAATTACATTTTTTATTAAGAAAAAATTCACATAACACAAAATTTGCCATTTTAGAAGTGTACAGGTCAGTGTTTTTAGTACATTCACAACATGATGCAACCATCATTACTACCTAATTTGAAAACATCTTTTCAGACATTTCTGCTTGCTGCAATTGAAAGGATGCTGTGCTCCTGACATCTAGTGGGCAGGGGCCGGAAATGCTGCTAAAATCCCGGAAGAAGAGAATCAAATGTCAAAAGCCATTGAGGTTGAGAAACGCTGCTCTCACCATTAAGGCACTATTATCACCTCTGAGGAAATCAATAGTAATTGAGTAGAATCACCCCCAATTGTCTCAAGACTGTCTTTTTAGCATTTCTATTTTAGTTCAGGAGGCAAGGTTCACATATTACACTTGCTTGTCAGGTCTCTTTAATCTTTTTTTTTTCTTTATATATTTTTCTTTATATAGAGATCTATCTGATGTTCTAATTTAAGTTCACCTAACCTGTTTGCACATATCTGTGCACTAACAGCGCACCTTTTTCTTCCTCTCCAGAACTTGCCCTCAAGAGTCTCCAGTGCTCCAAACTCGGTAAGACCAGCTGCCCGTTCCCGCACCCTCCCTCACCCACCTCTGCTCTAAGCTATGCTTGGATCGTCAGACTAGGGCTTCACACTTTTTCTTGACTTTCAACATACAGTTGCTGTCAGGTCATTTGGGTGACATCTTCCTTTTGATCATCTTCCTCTTACTATAATTTTAGGCCATAAATGAAATTTATTAATATGCAGTATTGCCACATTTTCTTTATATATTTTTCTTTATATAGAGATCTATCTGATGTTCTAATTTAAGTTCACCTAACCTGTTTGCACATATCTGTGCACTAACAGCGCACCTTTTTCTTCCTCTCCAGAACTTGCCCTCAAGAGTCTCCAGTGCTCCAAACTCGGTAAGACCAGCTGCCCGTTCCCGCACCCTCCCTCACCCACCTCTGCTCTAAGCTATGCTTGGATCGTCAGACTAGGGCTTCACACTTTTTCTTGACTTTCAACATACAGTTGCTGTCAGGTCATTTGGGTGACATCTTCCTTTTGATCATCTTCCTCTTACTATAATTTTAGGCCATAAATGAAATTTATTAATATGCAGTATTGCCACTAACTAGTCTGCTATTGTGGCCAATCCAGCTGTAGGTCCTTTAATCTCTTTTAACATAGAAGAGTAATATCTGCCCCCCACTCAGGCTTTTTGCTTGATTGTGTTTTGTAAAAGCTCAGGCCAATTTTATAGTATCATGTTCTGGATTTAACTGATTGATTCCTCAAGATTAAATTCATGATAAACACTTTTGGCAAGAACACTACATTGATTATTGCATCACATCAGGAGGCCCATAGTATGAGGTGCCTGTGCTATTTGTAACGTTGAAATTGATGATGATGTAGTTCAGAAGACAGGAGCCAGGTGCTGTCTCCAATGCTCTGCCCACTCAAGTGTGCCATTCAGGCAGCCACCCTAGTTGGCTTACCCTTTCTGAAAAGTAGACAGGCTGGGGAGGATGACTCTCACCCAGTGGGGAATCCTCAGGCCCTCCTCTCTTCTCTTTGCTGCCCCACCTTCAAGGGTCAAGGGGAAGGCCCTACCTAAGAGCTGGGAGTCCCATTAACCAACCCCAGGGATTAGGCCCCAACCCAGGTTGGCTGGCAGGACTTTGGAGGACTCCTGGGACTTCTTCAGCTATTGCTTGGTTCCCAGGAAGAAGGAAAATGGAGGGAAATAGGCAGAGCCCCTGGAGCCTGGAACCAAGAAGTTAAGGGTATGGGCCAGTAGGGGCCAGGGCTTGTAATGCTGGGAGCTACAGGGCCTGCTAGCGCCCTGTCATGAATAACTGCAAAAGCTGTACTGGAAGTTACTCCCTACCTTCCTCCTTTCGGGAAGCCCCTACCCGGTAAAACCACCTCCTCCAGGGAAACTACCAGTACTGCAGGAAGAAAGAAATCATTCCTGTTCTCAAAGCACTCCAGGCAAGAACCACCACAAGGACTATCCCATTGGGTATTCTATTCCATTACACAGACTGTAAGAACCCAATGACCTGCATATTGCTTTTTTTGGGCCAACATTGAAACAGCATATAAAAATTCAGTTTTCTGGCTTTTCCTAAAAAATATGAAGTTCTGGCAACACTGGGCTTGCACCTCTGCCTCCACTAGGCCTGCACCTCTACCTGGTGTCCGTGGCTTCCCCTTTCAGACCAAGCACGCACTCCATACCTACCTGATATGGAGTCCAAGTGTGGCTTTTGTCTTGTTAAGTGCTGCCCCATTGCCAATGTTGAAGTAGAAAACCAAATTTCTATACCTATGTCTCTGAAAAAGTGTGACGATAAAAGAGTTCAAGGGCATATGCTTCAGGGAAAATGGGAGACAGCATATTTCTTTGTAGAATTGAAGAACATTCCTGTGTGCCTATAATGTGCTCAAAATGGGTCTGTGTTAAAAAAAATGACCCCAAGTTTCATGCTTGGGAGGTCAGTAGAGTGTCACACTCCTCAGTTTGACTGTCAGTTCCACCATTTACAAGCTATGTGGCCTCAGACAGGACTGTGACAACACCCAGATGCCTCTTTAGTTTAAGCCCTAGAATACAGCTTTACTGCTGTTTTAGCAATAAAACCTCCCAAGTATGTGATTTTCAAGGCTGTGTGGAGGAAAAATGAGATACCACACCTAAAATCATGTTTTCTGGGCTGAGAATTTGCCCAGATTCAATGGCTGCCCAAACCAAAAGCCGAACCTGGTTCCCAAGAACATATTTTTTACCTGGACTTTGGCAGAAGGTGCTGGCCCATGTCACCCAGTCTACCCCCAAGGCCACAGCAGGGATAAGGCCTCCGGAGGTCAGGACTTTTGTGGAAGTCACGAGATGACCTTGGGAATGTTCAGGGCTTGTAAGGGCTCAGCTAAGGTCAAAGGAGACCCATTAGGCCCACCTAGCTCACTATGAGTTCTCCTGCCAAGGCTATTAGCAAATTTCCAGGACTGGGACCAGGGAATTCCTGGTCCTGGGAATTCAAAGGTGACACTCCTCTAGGATGTAAGTGAGTATGCAGGAGGCCTCAGAGACTACTGGAAGCTAGTTTGGGTCTGCAAGGGAAACAAGCCTTAGAATGAAGTATTTACCAAAATAATGTGGACAAGGGATGTAAAGAAACTGAAGATATCAGTTGGGAATGTGCTTAGCTGCAAGTAAGAGAAAACCTAATAGTAACTTAAATATTTGTTTCATGTGTGATAAGATGTCAGGAGATGGGCAGACCAGGATTGGTGCAACTGCTTTACAGGGCCTTGAAGGCACTGTCTACTTTTCTTGTTTGCCATCCATAGCAGGTTAGTCCATCCTCAAGGTTGTTGCCTCATGGTCACAAGTTGGCTGCTACAGCTCTAAGCATTATATTCATATTTTGACCAGATGTCAAAAGGAAAAGAAGCAGAAGAGGGAGGCACCTCTTGCAGGGAAGCAAAACTTTCCCAGAAGCTCTCAGCGTAATCTCAAGGGTCACAGTGTATCTCAGGGACACTTAAAGAATCTGAGGAAGTTAGTCTGTTTAATCAGGCACTGACCCAAACAAAACTGGGCTTGTTTTTGGAGGAATGGGGAATGGGTATTAGGAAGTCAACCAGCTGTGTCTGCCACACCAAGCCTTATAAAATCAGGAGGCACTTTATCCAACCCCATCTGCAACCAGCCCTACTTCTGGAGTTTTCAATCATATGAGACAATAAATTGTTTTTATAATTTAGGACAGCTTGATTCAAGCTTTCTGTTCATTACAACTGATGTCATCTCCCTGGTACGATCTGTTTCTTTTTTTTCTTTTTCCTTTTCACTATTTTCAGTTTGCAACTAGAAAAAACAACCACCACCTAAAACATACTGCTTTTCCTCACATGCTATGGATTTTAGGAAATTGTTGCCTTCTCCCCTGGAGAAATAACCTACAAACAAAAAGGAAGTAAAACCACACTGTGCAATCTGCAAATCCCAGAAGTCAACAGCTTGCAGACACCCCCCAGGGGCAGAGAGAAAACAAGGGTCACAAGAGACGAGACAGCATATGTAAGGACAGCAAGCTGGGGACACAACCGCTTTCAATGCCACTGACCCAGAAAGTAGGTACCCCTTTTTCTCCAGGCACCTGCTGCACCACCTCACAGGGTGCTTTTCGGTCTATGGTCTGAAGAACTCTTCTCAAATGACACAAGAGTGTTGCTTTGAAGAGATGAGCAAAAAAGGATCAAATATGAATAAAAAACATGTAAAGTCCAAAGTCAGGGAAGAAACTCACGTGAAAAGGAAACCCATGTAACCACCACCCTGATCAAGTTATAAACACGTCCAGGGCTGCAGATGACTTCATCTCCTCTCTCCGTCACTGATGCCCCCAGAGCCAACCACTACTCAGAGTTCTGTCACCACTCAACCTAGTTTCTCCTGGTTTAGAACATCACATAAATGGAATCATACTGTATTTCTTCTTTTGTGGCTGGTATCTTTCATTCAACATTATGTCTGTGAGATGCATCCACATGGTTGTGTACAGCAGTTCATTCTTTATTGCTGCGCAGTTTCCAGTTGTACGAACATGTTAAGGTTTGTCCAATTGTCCTGTTGATGGGTATTCAAATTGTTTCTAGCTCTTCCCTGTTATGAATAAAGTTGCTGAGGACATTCGAGACATGCACTATAGTAGACTTCACGGTCATTTCTCTTGGGTTTATACCAAAAAGTGAACTTGCTGGCTTGATGATCAGGTGTAGTAGTTATATAGGAAGTACTAGTTTCCCAATTTACCTCTTGTTAGGCTGGAGAAAGGAAAAAGAAGGACATGCAAACAGAACAGAGAAATGCCATAGGGGGAGAACAGACCAGACCCCAAAGTCTGTGCCATGTATGGAAAGGGGACAGCTCTCCCTGAATTCCATCCTGATGTGCCAACTAAGACCCAGATGTCAGCCTCCTCCCTCTTGGAAGGAAAAAAAGTTTCTAGTTGTCTATTATGTTACCTTTAGCCAATCATACCTCTCCACACCCCCTAAGATAGCTTGCCCACTCCTCTCCCTCCTAATCCCTTATAAGCCCCCCACCTCCCCAACCGGGGGTGACTTCTCTGGCCTGTGACGAGAAGGCCACAGAACCTCACCCGGGGGTATTTAAATAAATTACCTGGCCCTTTGTTGCCTCTCTTTGCCTGCTTATTTCGGCTAGAATTTATCTTACACCTCTTATCAGATCTATTTACTTCAGACCCTCACCAACACTTTGTATTGTTAATCTTTTTAATTTTAGACAATCTGGTCAGTGTACAATAGTATCTCATTGTGGTTTTAATTCACATTTCTCTATGAATTGGATTCCTTTAGTGATATTGAGCACCTTTCCACATGCTTATCAGCCACTTGGAAATCTTCTTTTGTGAAGGGCCTGTTCAGTCCTGTTCCCTTAATGATTATGGAATCTAATGACATGAGAAAATGTTCATGAGGCCATTTTATCAGAAACAAGATTCAAAACATTATATGTTATATAATCTATGATAAGATGAATGTTAACATATTGATCTTAATTGTCTCAGTAGAGGATTATTAGGATTATGAGTGTATTATTATTATTATTATTATTTTTGATATAGTTAATACATAATTACTTGAACAACATTATGGTTACTAGACACCCCCTGTTATCAAGTCCCCCCTAAATACCCCATTACAGTCACTGTCCATCAGTGTAGTAAGATGCTATAGAGTCCTTACTTGTCTTCTCTGTATATACTGCCTTTCCTGTGTCCCCCCCACCCCCGCTACATTATGTGTGCTACTTGTAATGCCCCGTTTTCCCCCTTATCCTTCCCTTCCCACCCATCCTCCCCAGTCCCATTCCCTTTGGTAACTGTCCATTCTTGGGTTCTATGAGTCTGCTGCTGTTTTGTTCCTTCAGTTGTTGCTTTGTTCTTAGACTCCACAGATGAATGAATCATTTGGTACTTGTCTTTCTCTGCCTGGCTTATATCACTGAGCATAATACCCTCTAGCTCCATTCATATTGTTGCAAATGGTAGGATTTGTTTTCTTCTTATGGCTGAATAATATTCCATTGTATATATGCACCACATTTTCTTTATCCATTCATCTACTGGTGGACACTTAGGTTGCCTCCATTTCTTGGCTATTGTAAATTAAATAGTGCTGCGATAAACAGAGGGGTGGATATGTCTTTTTCAAACTGGGCTGCTGCATTCTTAAGGTAAATTCCTAGGAGTGGAATTACTGGGTCAAATGGTATTTCTATTTTTAGTTTCTTGAGGAACCTACATATTGCTTTCCACAATGGTTGAACTAGTTTACATTCCCACCAGCAGTGTAGGAGGGTTCCCCTTTCTCCAGATCCTCGCCAACATTTGTTGTTGTTTGTCTTTTGGTTGTTGGCCATCCTAACTGGTGTGAGGTGATATCTCATTGTGGTTTTAATTTGCATTTCTCTGATGATTAGCGATGTGGAACATCTTTTCATGTACCTGTTGGCCATCTGAATTTCTTCTTTGGAGAAGTGTCTGTTTAGCTCCTCTGCCAATTTTTTAATTGGCTTATTTGCTTTTTGTTTGTTGAGGTGTGTGAGCTCTTTATATAATTTGGATGTCAACCCCTTATCAGATATGTCATTTATGAATATATTCTCCCATACTGTAGGAAGTCTTTTTGTTCTAATGATGCTATCCTTTGCTGTACAGAAGCTTTTTAGTTTGATTAGTTCCACTTGTTCATTTTTGCTTTTGTTTCCTGATTATGGAATCTTTATATATTCAGCATTAGTCCTTTTTTGAGTATATGTGTTGCAATTTTCTTTTCCCAGTTTGTGGCTTATCTTTTCACTTTCCTAATTATCTGTAATTAATGATCAGAAGTTCTTAATTTTAATGAAGTCAAATTTATCAACCTTTGATGGTTAGTACTTTGTGTCTTGTTTAAGATATCTTTGCCTACTCCAAGGTTATGAAGATATTCTTTGTTTCTTGTACAAACTTCATTGTTTTACCTAAACAATTATGTTTATGATCCATCTCAAGTTAATTTTCATGAAGGCTGCAAGGTAGAGCTAAAACAGTCACTTGCTCCAACACCATTTATTGAAAGTACCTTTCCCCCACTTCAAGAAGCTTACATAATTCATTTCAACCATTCTTTTTTTTCTAATACATGCACTTAAATATGTGCATTTTTAAGCTGTGTTTTAGCATATTGTGTTTCATTATCATTCTGTTTGAAACATTTTCTAGTTTCTCTTGTTAGTCATGGATTATTTAGAAATGTGTCCAAGACATAAGGACACTGAGCACAGCCGAGGCAGCCAACTGAACCCACAGCCTCATGGGGACCGAGCTGAGGGTGGGCGGAGCGGCTGCTTGCTTTTGTTTGTGCACCCCTTGGGAGCTCTGGGGGTGGGTGGTCAGTTTCCCCAGGTGTGTGAGGAGGCACCCTAGGGTGGTATGCCTGCACCTCGTCCTGCCTCCACCTCCCCACCCCCCAACACACACCATCTTTCTCCAGCTCTAAAACATGCTCCGGGCCATGTGAGGAAGAAAAGAAAGCAGGCCAGCCTGATCCCGCTGAGGGATCAAAACTAAGTCACTTAATCTCTGAGCCTCAGTTTCCTGATCTATGAAATGGTGATGATAATGTGATAATGTTTAATTCAGTGTTTTGAGGAGCATTCAATATACTGGATGGGGTCTTGCTGTGAGGCACTGGATAAACATAGAGCAGGTAAAGGGAAGAGGTGGGGAGGAAAACTGGCTTCTATGCCCGATGCTGACACAAAGTCTGGCTGTGGCCAGAACTGGGGAGAAGGACCCCTATGCAGGGCTTCTTGGAGACAGTTTATGCAGAACCTATAGGGGCAAAATTGGGAAGTGGCCAGTGGGGCTGCTGGCAGAGGGGCTTGGTGAGCTGGGCAGGGGCCTGGTGCTTGGGGGAGACCTGTACCCAGGGCTCTAAGCAGGATGGTTATCTTTTCTGTCTAATGCCAGCAGATGACCACTACCCAACAGGACTCAGCATCCTCCCAGCTCCCACCCCTCCCTCCTAGGCCTTCTTTGCAGCTGGAGGCAGAGGATGGGAAGGGGTAATGGCAGAAAGGAGGGAGACCGGAGAGCGCTGGCAGCTGCTGCAGGGTTTCTTGAGCTGGGTTCCTCTCTACTGTCTCCAGCTGACCCTGGGCTCACCCTGAACCTGTCAAGCCAGGCACTGACTCACCCATATGACCAGTGACCTGGGCATCTCCAGGCCCATGCGCAGAGTTCCCGTGGCCTCTGTTCTTGTCTTCATAGAGTCTAAGTGGCAAGGATGGGCAGACTGGAGAGCTCCTGCACCTTTAGCAGAAAGAGCAATTCCTAGGTTAAGAATCATTTCCAGGCAGTCCAGTGGTTCCTGCTGTGAAAACACCTTCGATCCTGGGGCTTTAGTGGAGCCACTGAACATCCTCAGGGAGTCAGGTGGCTCCTTCCATTTGGAGGAATCTGGTACAATGCAGGGGACATATGTGCACTCTCCCCAGCCCAGCAGTGCCCTGCCTTGTGGAGGGTTGCTGGGACTCAAAATATACTCCCCAGAAATGTTGTTATACTCAACAAAACCAGCTCCTCACCACCTTGTGTGGGTTTCCTGTGCATATGGGCACTGGTGTCCCATTTTGGACATGTTGAAGGTGGAGACTCACCCTGAGGCAGAAGGTAGGGTGCTACAACTCTCCCAGAAACAGAAGATTTCCCACAGAAAAGTGGGACCTGGAAGGCAGGAGGAAGGACTAGCTACCTCTCCAGGCCTCTGGAGATTTAGACATTGTGGGTTGTGGACGTCTTCAGAAGGGGCTGTGGTTGGAGATTAGGATGGCCTCTGCTGCACTGGAGGGGCCCAGGTGTCCAGACTGCAACCACATCCTATGAATTGGATTGGCTGTGCCTATTTGTCTGTCATCCCTGGGCCTTGTGACATTTTTCTGAGCACTCCAGCCACAGCTCAGCTGTTCTGGGGACCCCAATAAAGGGCCTGCTTCTAGCACTGAAGGGGAGGCCTGCCATGGGAAGGAGGACTGGCAGTTAGAGCAAGGCCTAAGGGGAAGGGGTATCTCTGAGCCTGAGCCCCCTTATCATCTGGGAAAGGGTCCTTATACCAGGTGTCCTTGCATGTCACCTGGCACTCCCTGGCTCAACTCCAGCCTACACTTTCACTGGTAACAGGCAAACCTTATAACATCTTCCTATACCAACTGCACTAGTGGGGGTGAGGATTTAATAATGTGGGTAACTGTTGAATTGCTGTGTTGTATACTTGAAACCAATATAAGATTGTATATCAACGGTACTCCAATTTAAAAAAAATGAAAAACCAAGACAAAACAGGTAAGCCCAAGATGCCTATCTGTGGGTCATGTAGCATGCACTCAATGAACAGCTCTTGAATGAATGGGAGAGTGGCAAGTGCTCACAGTCATGCCACAAACATGACTCCCACCGAGGAGCTCCTGATGACAGTGGGAGCCCCTCCAGTTGATGGCTGAAGACACCAGCCTGAAATAACCCGCATCTGTCTTGCTCACCTCCTGGAATGACTAAGAAGACTACACTTCTCCAGGGAGCCTCTGCCTTTTGGAAGTCCTACAGATGAGTCACAGGGGCACGGACAGTGCGCCGGTGGGGATCTGGTTTTCAAAACAAAGCTGGACGGGGGAAAACTGGACAGCTATGTGCAAAAGAATGAAATTGGACCCTGTCTTACACCACACACAAAAATAAACTCAAAATGGATTAAAGACAAAAATGTAAGACCTACAACCATAAAACTCCTAAGAGAAAACATAAGCAGTAAAAAACTTTTAGATATCGGCAATAGCAATTTTTTTCTGGATATGTCTCCCCAGGCAAGGGAGAAGAAGCAGAAATAACCAACTGAGACTACATCAAACTAAAAAGCTTCTGCACAGTGAAGGAAACCATCAACAAAACAAAAAGGCAACCCTTTGAATGGGAGAATATTTTTGCAAATCATATATCCAATAATGGGTTAATAACCAAGATACATAAAGAATCCATACAACTCAACATCAAAAGACCAAATGATCCCATTAAAAAATGGGCAAAGGACCTGAATAGACATTTTCCCAAGAAGATGTACAGTGACTAACAGGCATGTGAAAAAAATGTGCAACATCTCTAATCATCAGGGAAATGAACAAATCAAAACCACAATGAGATATTGCCTCACACCAGTCAGAATGGCTATTATCAAAAGACAATAAATAACAAGTGTTGGCAAGGATGTGGAGAAAAGGAAACCCTCCTACACTGTTGGTGGAAATGTAAAATGGTGCAGCCACTATAGAAAATAGTATGGAGTTTCCTCAAAAAATTAAAAATAGAAACACCATATGGACCAATAATTCCGATTTTAAGTATTTACCTGCAGAAAACAAAAACACTACTTTGAAAAGATATATGCACCCCTATGTCACTGAAGCATGGTTTACAATAGCCAAGATATGGAAGCCACCTACGTGTTCACTGATAGATGAATAGATAAAGAAGATGTGGTGCATATATGCAATGGTATAGTACTCAGCCACGAAAAAGAATGAAATCTTGCCCTCTGTGACAACATGAGTGGACTAGAGGGTATTACGCTAAGTGAAATTAAGTCAGAGAAAGACAACTACCATATGATTTTACTTATATGTGAGTCTCTATAGAGAGAACAAACTGGTGGTTGCCATAGGGGACAGGGTATAGGGGAATGGGCAAAACAGGTGAAGGGGATAAAGAAGTACAAACTTCTAATTATGAAGTAAGTAATCATGGGGATGAAAAGTACAGCATAAGGAATATAGTCAATAATTTTGTAATAACCTTATATGGTGACAGATGGTAACTACACCTGTCATGGTGAGCATTTCCTAATGTATTTAATTGTGGAATCACTATGTTGTACACCTGAAACTAATGTAGTATTATATGTCAACTAAATTTCAATTTAAAAAAAAATGCTGGATTGGGAGAGCCAGTGGGTGCTCTGCTGCCCCCTGTGGGATAAAGCAGGAAAAGCGTCCTTCATGTGAGGACTACCTTGCCGGAAGAAAAAGAACAGGATGGATAGGGTTCTGGGTTCACACCTCCTTGTCCTCACACTTGGTCTCTGGCACATAGCAACCACACTCTCACCTTTCCCCTCCCTGAAGTCAGGGTCCCTATGTTCAGGTCCCCAGACTCACCAAGTAGGCTCTGCATCCTCTCAGGTCTCACAAATTCTCCACCCAGAACATGCCACACATTTCTGAAGGTCCTTTTGCCAACAAGCATTGTCTTGGGAACATCAGGCCAATTCCTGACCATCAAAACTACCCACACAGGGTTTGTCCTCATTAGCAGATGTAAAGGGCTCCCAAAGTGCCGCCCAAGATGTGTTCATCAGGAAAGAAAATAAATGTAAGGACTGCAAACCCAATGAAAATAGAAAGTAGAAAAGCAGAAACTTAATTGTATCAAAATTTGATAAATCGAGCCAAAGACTGGTTATTTGCAAAAACTAATAAAATCTGATTAAACCAATGGAAATTCACTGCAGATACAAATACAGATACAGATGTAGATACACGGAGAGAACTCTGACAGAAACCCCATAGGCCATGTTTTGGGTCGATTCAGTGGTGGTGGTGGGAGGGCTGGGTGACACGGCGCTGGAAGGGAGGAGAGTGGGGTGGGGTGGGAAAGGATATAAACAAATGTTGATTTCCTCCTCTGGACTCCACTTAGATTTATGGATGGCATGAGAGCTCGGGTTCCTGCGGTTATGGTCTAAGCCTGCGCACACTCCTATCAGTTGTACAATGTCAACGTGGCTACAGATGTTTGTTGGCCAACTCACTGACTGAATCAACTCAGGGGGTAGCTGATTTCCCAACCCCAGGTGAAGGAAAAGGAGTCTACTTTTTCAGGCAGGAACCAGCCTTGGGGCATAGCCCGTGCCAGTGTTAAGCTGTATAACTAGCCAGTTTTGCAAACCACCTGCTCGTTATGGGTTCAGGGAACTTACATTGTTCCTCGCCTGGCTTCTCCCTGACTCCCAACCAAGCTTCATGACTGAGTAAAGGCCTCCTCTCCCAAGACACCTTCCCAAGCCAACCTCCTGCCCCTTCTGTCAGCTGAGGTTAATGCCCATCCTGGTCCCATGTGGTCCTGGACATTCTTCTATCAAAGCATTTAGCCCAGTGAATTTTTAAAAATTCTTTTGCTTTTAATTTTTATTATGGAAATTTCCAAACACATACAATGGTAGCTGTAACAGGATAATGAAGCCCATGTACCCATCACCCAGTTTCAACAATTACCAATTCACAAACAATTTTGTTTCATCTATATCACCTCTTGCTATCCCTCCTACCATGGATTATTTTGAAGCAGATCACAGACTTCCTATCATTTTATCAGAAAACATTTCATTATACTTCTCTAAAAGACAGAAGGTGCTTTAAAAAAAATGGGATTGTAATCACAATAGCATCACTGCAGCTAAAAAAATTAAGCTATTCCTTAATGTCACAAGTATGTAATGTTTATGTTTCTCTCATCATCCCACTGTGTTTTCATGTTTGGTTTTCTTGACTGCATCCCCCATTGGACCTGACCAGGGACCTGGGCTGCCCCTGTGAGTGCTTCAGCCCTTGCCCATCACTGCCTATGAAGCTGATGCACTGTGCGCCCACACCCAGGTGAAGACAGCCACTGTTCTGTAGTTGAGCAAAGACACTGAGTGGGTGGGAGGTGGACCCCACCAGAAAATGAAGAGCTGTCCTTAGCCTGGGTGCTGAAAAGGCCCAGCCAAGTGCCCAGAACCCACACCTCAACTCACTCAAGGCACCTCTCCAAAAACCAAATGCAGTCCCTGCTGCCCACCAACATATCTGCAGCCAGACTTTTCAAGGATGGGTCTGGGCACAGGATTTGGGGAAAGTGCCTCAGGTATATTTGGTATATATCCTTTCCTGAGTTCCAGCTGGCCTGATAACTTCACTGTACACCAATCTAAGAGCGTACACCAACCTGAGAAGAGAAAGCCCTGCAGCAGGCCACTGGGCCCAGGTATAATGACTGGGAAAAAAGATCAAAGTCAGTTGCCAGGGAGGCCTTGACACCAGGTCTGCTTTGTGACAAGGTTACCATTCTCAGGGGAGACAGGGACTGGCACTTCACTGGATTATTAAGGGACCACCTCCTCAGAGAGTCTTTCCCTCCTCTCCTGCCTCCTCCCTCTGGGTAGTAGGATGTGACCCTCTGAATTCCTAGGGCTGTTACCCAGAGCCAGCCACAGGAGAGCTCAAGGCCAGCCTGATCCAAGAACAGACATCAGTGCCCGTCGGAGCAAGAAGCTGCCACAGCCCCACCCTCTGCCAACTGCCCCCGCCCCATGCAATCTGAACCTTCAAGACCAAATGTTGGTGCTGACCCCAGGCCAAAGGTTGCCAGATCGCAACCTGTGGTTTTGACCCACTGCTGTGAAGACTTCCTCAGGTTTCATCCTGGTCAGAACAGCCTGTGTGAACCTGGGCCACAAACCCCAGCATTCTCTTCATTGTCCTCCTGCAGCCTTGGGCCAGCTCAGTTTGTACACTCAGTTTGAGGCCTTGAAGCACATTCAGCCTGCATCCCTTTCCCCAGTGGGCATGTAAACAGGGCTCTAGAGCAGTGACAGAAGGCTACAGCATGTGGGACCCTGTGTGTCCTATCATCTTCACAAAGGGCAGTCTTCACCCTGGCCTCGTGCTGATAAGAGCAGGCGCGGGAACAGGCCTGATGACACAAAGCGGAAGGGAGCAGCCATTAGCACTAATGAGGGAGGCAGCATGAAAGCTTTTTACTTTGAATCTGCTCGCTTGCCCAGGGAACAGTCCGTTCTGTCCCCTTGGCTTCCAGGAACTCCAGGCGGAAAAGGGTTTGGGGGCAGGAGCAGGGATGGTGGTCTTGCAGAAGTCTGGAGGGATAGGACCGGGGTATGTTGGTGGGGGGCAGGACCAGGGATGGAGGCATAGGGCCTGGGTTTTGGCTGGATGGCTTTTCCCCAGGGCCTAGGTCTGCACCCCACCCCCACCCCCACTCTGGCCACTGGCCTGTCACACCCTTCAATACCCTTGACCAGAGTTCCTGGAAGCAGAGGAAACAACACGTCACATAGGGTCTGAGTGAGCATATCCAGGGCCACAAATTAAATTAAGATTTCAGGGCCGCCTGCCTTGTTATTGCTAATGGCTCCAGCCTGCCCACCCCCCACCCCAGGTCCCTTTCCTGCAGAAATTTGGGGGCCCTGGGTACCCTACATTGTTCCCAAACTTTGTTTGGCTTCTAGCAACCTCTCCTAAAAGTGGAGATGGGCAGCCCTCTTGTAGAGCACCAAAAAGCCTGGGTTCTAGGGACAGAGGCCTGAGCTGTGCCCCCACCCTCCAGGGAGGGCCCTTCATGCAATGGCTGCAGGGAGCAGTCACGTGTGGCCCCTTCATTAGACCCTGCCATATAAGACAAGGGCAGGGGGTGGCTAGGAACTCTCCCAGCCAGGACCCAGCAAGTAGAGGTAAGTCCTCAGGGGGCAGAAACTCCTATTCTCTGGGGGCCTCTTTCTGGGGGTAGGGCACCTGGGGGGTACATTGAGGATAAGGAAGGACTAAGTGGTGGGTCTTCCTGCTGAGCCAGGCCATGCTGACCGCAGTGCTGCTGAGCTGTGCCCTGCTGCTGGCACCACCTGCTGTGCAGGGGGCCCAGATGGGCTTGGCTCCCCTGGAGGGCATCAGAAGGCCTGACCAGGCCCTGTTCCCAGACCTCCCAGGTCAGTGTGGGCAGTGGTGGGGCTAGGTGGGGTTTGGACATCCTTTGGTCAAAACTATCTTGCCTTGTCTGAGACCTTCTTACCCCTTCCCTACTCCAGGCCTGGGAGGTGGGTGTTTTGTGCATGGTGGGTTCTGCTCTCACATTATCTGTTCCAGGCCTGGGCCTGCTACCCCCACTAAAGAGGACAACTACAAAACAGGCGGAGACAGCTCAGCTGCAGGAGGCTGAGGCCTTGGCAGAGGTAATTGCTCAGGGAAAGGGGTGAGGCCACACACCTTGGGAGGGGGCATCAGGCATCATTCCCCTCTTTTTACCCACTGAGCCCCCTCACCTGGAGTGACGCTGCTGACAGATGCTCCACTGCCATTTTGCCTGGATTGAGGCAGATGAGATCCCTTGAGGTGCTTTTGTAGGCACATGCCTTCGTTCCTGTTTCCCCATGCCTGCAGGTGCTAGACCCTGAAGGACGCGAGGCACGCTCCCCGCGTCGCTGTGTACGGCTGCAAGAGTCCTGTCTGGGACACCAGGTACCATGCTGCGACCCATGTGCCACGTGCTACTGCCGTTTTTTCAACGCCTTCTGCTACTGCCGCAAGCTGGGTACTGCCATGAACCCCTGCAGCCGTACCTAGCTGGCAGACGTCGGGTCGGGGATGGGACAAGGGGGCGTGAATAAAGGATGGGACCAACCACGAGGCTGTGGCGTTATTTCGAATGTGGCCGTGGGAAGCGAGAGGTCAAAGCAGGGGTGGGTGTGCCGCCAAACCGAGAAACCACACACACCCCGTACCCCAGAGCCTGGGCTAATTAACCCATCTGAGTCACTTATCCCGTGAGCTCTTAGGGCGCCAGGTGCCGCAGGCAGAAGCAGAGAAGGGCCGCGCTCCAGCCCTCCAGAATCCCTCCAGAACCCCGTGCAGTAAATGCTGGGTAGCAGCGCTGCACACAGGGGCTCTAACTCCCGGCTACAAACAAGCATTAGACTCCAGGGCCTGCTTGCTGATAACTCGATGGGTGACCCCCAGCAAAGCCCGCCCTTTACAGATCCTTAGTTTCCCTTAGAAGGAAGGCTGACTCAACAGTCTGAACTATTTACAAGCATAAAAAGCACCGCCCACTTTCATCTTTACTCTGCCGGCCCCCTCAGGCCAGGTGCACCAGAGCTGGGAGAGCTTGAGGGAGGGTTCAATAGAATACCCGCGGCCACGGGCGCCACCTCGCGGCCAGTCTCGGACACTCCACACCACTCAAAGCCAGAACGCAGGGGGCACTCCTCCCCTAAAGCGCGCAGGCGCTAAGGACAGCCCTCCAGTCCGCACCTGCGCAACGCTTCCACACGAAACCTCCCGGAAGCCGGGCGCCGCTCAGAGTCCCGCCCTATTGTAGTCACGTGAAGCGCTTGCGCATCATCCGACGTGCTTGACAGCCCGTTGTGGGCGCCGCGTCATCTGATCTTAAGAGAGGTGCTGCGTGCCGACCCATCGGGGTTCTTCGGTCCCGCCGCAGCCATGTCGTTCTTCCCGGAGCTTTATTTCAACGTGGACAATGGTTATTTGGAGGGACTGGTGCGCGGCCTAAAGGCCGGGGTGCTCAGCCAGGCGGACTACCTCAATCTGGTGCAGTGCGAGACGCTCGAGGGTGAGCAACGGGGCCCGGTTTCTGGGCCTCGAAAGGCCGGCCAGGAAATCGGCCTAAGCCTGAGGGTTCCGAGGCTGGGCGGGGAAGCTGGAGCCGGGGGTTCCCGAAAGGTCTGAGAGGCCTCTCTTGGAAATCGGGGGCTGATGGCGGGCGGGCAGGAAGGAAACCTACCCCCGTTTGCAGCTCCGCGCAGGCCCAGAAGCCAACAAGGCTTTAAGAACCGCAGTGGTCCACCTCTGCTGGGGTCGCCCCTTTTCCCCTTAGGCCTGTTGTGCAGTTTGGAAGAGAGGGTCTCTTGGGAGTGGTTGATCAGTGCCCGATGTGCTCATACAAGCCTCTTTGTCTTGACGTAGCCGGGAGCTGTCCCGTGGCAACACTTTGGCAAGCCGGCAGAAAAGTCCCTCAGTTTCTCCCTAACAAATACACCATGGCATTTGGGATCATTTTGTCTTCGCGATGGCTGGCGAAGACAATGTAAACCTTCCTCGGGGAATGGCTGGCCCAGCTTAGTGAGAGTTATATCCCATCGCCAAACAACTGGTTGAGCTGTTTGGGAGAGCAAGGGGTAGCCCTGAACGTCTGCAAGTTCGTACTCACGTATTTAGTCAGTAAGTCCCACTCCCTCAGCGAGAACCCTTTCGGGACAGGATTTCTTATAACAAGAATGGTGCGAAGCTGAGCTTTTCCTTGTTCTCAGCACACATAGCCAAAGTGGGATTGACTCCCTCAGGACAGCTGCATCAAAATTTTTTAAATTGAATAATCATTCATATACAATCTTATGTTGGTTTCACATGTACAACAGGGTTCAACAGTTACCATATTATTAAATCCTCACCCCCCCTATTGTATTTAGTATCTATTAATTTAGAAAGATGTTATAGAATCATTGACTATATTCTCCATGCTGCGCTACTGTCCTGGTGACCAATTTATATTGTGATAGAGAATTACTGTGCCCCTTTATCCCCTGCACCTGGCCCAGCACCTCCCTCTTGGTAACCACTAGTCACTTTTCAGTATCTATGAGTCTACTGCTGTTTTGTTCCTTCTGTTTTGCTTTGTTTTTATATTCTACAAATAAGTGAAATCATACAGCTGCATCAATTTTTTAAATTAAGGTATCACCCTTATGATATACACCCTTATAAAGGTTTTTCATGAAAAACATTGTGGTTACTACATTCACCCATATTATCAAGTCCCACTATACCCCATTGAAGTCACTGTCCATCAGTGTAGTAAGATGCCACAGAGTCACTACTTGTCTTCTCTGTGCTACAGTGTCTTCTCCATGACCCCCCCCCAACAAACCCCATGTGTACCAATCATAATACCCCTAGATCCCCATTTCCCTCCCCCACCCCTCCCCTTTGGTAACTGCTAGTCCCTTCTTGGAGTCTGAGTCTGCTGCTGTTATGTTTCTTCAGTTTTGCTTCA